TAATCAAAAACTACTGCAGCAAACTAAAGGACTTTTTCATGCTTCCATAGAAACAAACATTATCACTAATTCTGTTTTTGAAAAAAGGACAAGAATATATGTAATATATGTTAAGATTTAATTGCTCAAAATTACACTGATATTTTAGGGACACTCTGTATGTACACATACATATGAGTGTGTCGATCTGTCTGTCTCTGTGGTGCTACCTGCCTGTGAAAGTCCTATCCAGAATCATAAAATATTAGATCTGACAAACATAATTTTGATAACCATTGTAACTGTACAGAAAAGGAAACTGAGGCCCATAAAGGTAAAGTTATTTATTCAGGGTTCGATAAGTGGCAACACTAGTGGGCTGGAACTCAAACCGAAATCTTTTGAGTGTTTGACTCCAAGCCCAGGGCTCTTTTCCCCTAATCAATGCTTCCACCCTGCCAAGTATAGCTTCAACTTAAGGACATTCAGACAGATTAGCATAATTAATTAATAAGACCCTGTGCAAGCCTTTTTTTCTCTTTTTCAAAGTTACCAAAATAAATTCCTCAAAGCTCACAGATTTTGCAATTATCTTTTAATGGAGCCATTGTTTGGCTTATTTTGCTGACCTTAACTAAACTTAGAGATTATTTTATATTTGCATTCCTAACAAGTTTATTTCAAAGTGTTTTGATACTTAAGTTGATATCGAATAGTTTTAAAAGATTCTCAACTGTTGGGCAGGGTCCATATGGCCCTTCCCATGGACAGCACATCTTCAAACAGGCAGTACATCTGTCTCCTAGTAGAAAATAAAGGAAATTATTTTCTAAGGCACTTATATTCCAGATAAATTGTCCTGCGTTCAGAAGCAAAATTATTTCCAAGTAAGAACTCTATTTTTCTGCCAGGAGCACCAATTAGGAATGTATCTAAGTTACAGTTGCTATGGTAACAGGACTTCTTCAGTAGACTTGGTATTAAAGTGATTGACCATCAGAAAGGATACCATTAGCATTAGATGCTCTCTAAACCCAAGGTCCCACAGATGCCTAGATGATGGTGACCTTTGACGCCCAATAAGGAAATAAAGTATTCAGATTCTTGATTGTTGGAAGGATCTTTCCTTTTGGGGATTGATTGAAGCATAATTTTAATTCTGTGTTAACTTTCCTTTACCACCCATTGTGTTTCTGAGTTGCTTCCTGCTACTTAGAGTTAATGTTTACTTAGTAATGCAAAATAAGTTCAAGATAAAACTAAGGAAAACATAAAGAATATGATAAAAAGTTCAAATCATGCATTTATAGAAATAGTTTGCCACTTTGGATTTTATTGGCTATTTCCTATCATCCATGTGATTGTCCCACCCTCATCAATCCAAATAATTAAAAACTTTCGTAGAAATAATTCCATTTATGAACATTGATTAAAGAACTAAAGAAACTTTTTATAAAAAAATGAAAGACAATTATGAAAGAAAAATGAGAAATTTTAGCACCCAGAAGTAAAAGATTTATTAAAACAAAAAAAGTATATGAACATTTCTACCCATGCAGTTAATTGTGTTGTCAGTATAACATACTTGTAAAAACTGCATTAATAAGAAATGGACTTCAAATTTGAAAATATAGTTGCTATGATCACCTGGGAGCCATTAGGAAGTGGCAGAGAATGTTGAAGAAAAGTAGCAGAAATAGCATGTGAGTGTAATAGAATATTATTATGCCTAGAGAAAGGACAAATTGACTGATTCAGAAAAAGATTGGAAGACTTGTATGAATTGATTCAGAGTGAAATGAGCAGATCCAGTAGAACAATTTAGGAGATAACAATAACATGGAAAAAAAAGTTTGAAAGACCTCAGAACTCTAATCAAAGCTATAAACAATAGTAACTTCAAAAGATTGATGATGAAACATGCTTCCTACCTGTAGACAGAGAAATAATGAACTAGAGATGTGAGTTTTCAAACATAATAAATGTGTTGATTTGTTTTGTTGAACTATACATATTTGTCACACAGAAAGACTTCCATCATAAGACTTAACAGTTTAGTGGATGATTGTTCTGAAGCCCTTTAACAAACTTCCTTTCATCTTCAACTTCTTTCTGTTTCACTCCTTCCATTTTCTAACCCTCAAAACATGTCTCCCTCTCCACAACTGCTTTCATAGGCATGCCCTCCTGTACTGGCTAAAGTTTCATAACCTTCCTAACTCACTGGTCATGGCAAAGCACTCCTTGCTCCTCATTGCTACCTCCAGATTCCCACTACCACCCTCACTAAGAAGCTTGTCCTCTTTTGAGGTTCATACTATCAAAATTTATCACCCAATCTAAATCTTACTGATTGTTATCTATCAACCTGCAGGACATCGGTCTTTCTTCTCCAATGAGTTCGATGCCTAGCTTATTATGATCTTTCTCTCTTCCCTTCTCCTACCCTTATAGTTGGGGACTTCAATGTACATATTGATGCCTCTTCAAATACCCTACCACCCAAATTCCTCAATCTACTAAATTTCCATAACCTGCTCTTTTACTCCACATCTAGTACACACAAAGGCCATCCTTTTTACCTTGCCATCTTCAGCATGTGCTCAACTTCCATGTTCATGAACTCTGAAACCCTTTTTGTGATCATAATCTTTATCATTCCATCTTTTTTGATGTCTTGCAACTCCCAACCCACTTCATCCTTATCATTCCCTCCCTTTCTCAGTTCTTTCCCAGGCTATCACCTCTGTACTGTCTATACTCTCTTCCCTTCCCTGTTCTAATCTCTTGATAAATCCGTTCAACTCTTTATTATCCTCTGTCTTTGATTTTCTTGCCCCTTGTCCAATCTCCAATCATGCTTCTCTATTCCCCAACCCTGTATCATACCCAGAATCTATCTATTTCTTTCCTATTCACATGCTGCTGAATGAAACTGGAGAAACATCACAACACTATGCTGACAGGACCCAAATAAAATTTGAAGTTTATAACCTTAACTTAGCCTGGGCCTACCACATGTTTATGTTATGTCATGTCAACTAATTTTGTATTATCTGAGATCATCCTTATTTCAGCAAGGCAAACAGTATATTCCTCCATAACTGACTCTCTGTTGTACTCTCAGTGGTTCATCCAAATGCTACCTCACCTCCAACTTCCCAGTGCACCTTCTCCCCCTACACTGCCAGCTGAGGATCTCATTTCACATTTGACAACGAAAAAAATTGAGACTGTTCTCCGAGAACTCCCTCATCTCCTGTCTTCCTCATCTCATATCACTTAGACATCTTCTTCCCCTCTCTGCTCAACTCTTGTCTCATGTGGCCTCTATTCTTGGCAAGGCAAACCTCAGCCATGAAGGCAGCTGAAACAAATGCTGTGGAATGCTTAGATCTTGGTCAGACATCAAAGATGCCAAGGTCATCCCCTGCATACCAAGCCATCACCAGCCATCCTGACTTTTGTCTTGGCACTGGACTTTGATGACTGAAAGAGACAGTGAGGCTGATGACTGCACAGCTCTGCCTCACTTAAATCCAAGTCACATTCAAGTCAGGACATCACCCCATGATTGTCATTGGTCTTATTCAAAAATGAAAGATGAACAATAATAATAACAATCTCACTACAGCCCATCTTTCCAAGATTATTAAACATTACTCTTCTTCATGCCCTCAACCTTCCAGCCAAATAGCCCTACTACTAGTTCCACATACACAACATTGCAAGCAATATCCCCCAGGTGTAGGATATACTATCTGTTTCCTTCCTTTCAGAGTACAGAGCATGTGCGATCTCCTCCCCTCAGCTGCTTATCCTCTTGATTCCTAACCAAATAATGACTGTGTTTTCTGTGTATGTATTATATATTCACTTACATGGGTATATGTTCTTTCTCTTTATAGAAAAGAATATAAATTCCTTAATAGACTTCTTTTATTTGTATCTGTTTCCTAGCTATGAGTAAAATGCCTGGCACACAGTAAGCACTTAATAAATGGATATAGATTATTTTTAAAACACTGTGTGTCTATAGGGAGTCAATTCATTTCACCTTCCATCTTCCCTTCTGTCAATGGAATGATAGATAACACCTGCCTTATACTTCATAGGGATTATAGTGAGAATTAGAGGATATAAAAGATACCTCAAGTTTCCACGATATCATCACGTTGAAGCTCCCTCTATCAAAGCAAATTGTAGCTGTCTGTAATTTAGTGAATTCGTGTTAAGGCATTTATTTACTGAGACTCAGGGAGCTCATGAGACTCATTTGCTGTCACACAAGTAATCAGTCTTACAGCATTTGAACTTGGGTTTTCTTGACTGTGTTAGGTTGACTCTCTAATGATAATAACCTGATTTATATAATGGTTTATATAACTTTATTTATATATTTATATATTTGTTTTTATAATATGCATTTATATAATTTTACAAACCACTTTTCTGAAAGTACCCTGTGAGATAATAGTATGAGAATTCTTTGAAAACTTAAAAGTCATTATCCAAAAGTAGAGTGGTGGCATTAGTAAATGAATTCTCTAATATGCCCTAAAATGTAAAAGCTCATTGCTACTCAGTGTTTTGAGGGACAGTTCATGTTTATGAAAATCTTCAGAAATGAAGATCAAGTGGAATATTTTGTTGATAGTTACAGTCTTTGAACTTTAGCAGTAAAGGTCTTGAATGTAACCCAAAAAGTTGGTTTAATAAAAAGTTGAACGGGTCCTTTTCACATAGGTTGAAAGGTAAAGATACAAACACTACTTCCTCATAGCAGATTATTCTTTCAATCTCATTAAGCAAATAGTTATTTGTGTCAAGTTTTTTTTATCTTTGTTGCAGCCTGTTTTGAGCCATGTATAAGTGGTCTCCTCCATGCCTGTTTCCTTCTAGGTCATAGTTTAATCACACCCTGATGTAATTATTTTTATAATCCTGGAATTTAATATTGTACTTTATGTGATGATTGATGTAAATGAGTCTTAGTAACCTAACAATCATATATTGTGCAGGAGGCATTTGTGACCCTGGAGAATCCCATGAAAATGATGTCATTCTCTATGCAAAGACTGAAGGAAGAAAAGAGCATATTTCACTGGACATACTTTCCTATTCATCCTACAAGGTAAACATAACCAGCCTATAACATTTCCCTGGCCCTTCTCAGGCTACATATCTATAGAAACTGTCCCAGATACAAAGGGGAAAATGTCTTCTGCCAACAACCCCGTAAGATATGATTAGGAATGAAGCTGCCCAATTTAAATGAGATATTGTACTATAGTTTAAGGCAATGCCTTTAGTGGACCCTTTTAATTCTTATACTTTTGAATTAGGGTCTTACTAGAAAGGGGTGAAATGCTGTCAGAGAAAAGAAGGCAGAGCCCGATACCTGAGTGACAATTGGTCTTGTCCCCTTGAAAGCCCTGAAAGGATCTCTAATTATGCAGCCCCACAGGAGTGCCATCAGGCATAATTAATATTTATCCAGCATTTTGAGATTCCCTAGACGAGAGGCATTGTAGAAATGCAGATCATTATTACTGTTGCTTTCTTCTTGGCTAATTAGAACTGCTGAGGTCGACCTTTTTGCTTTGCCCTTTGGATTTAGGACAGGTGTTGACTCTGGTTGTTTGCAAACATCTTCAAAATTATGTGAGATGCTTGTCATGGGTTTTAGTTTTTTTTTTCTAATTGTACATTTATTTGTGCTGACACAATCATTATTAGTTAGTCTTCGTTCAGCACTGATGACACCCTGTAAAAGAGCCTGAGGACATTTCTTGCCCAGCGCGCTCATAGTTAAGATTTAAAAGGCTCAATATAAACAGAGAGGACAGAATGGGGGATACTGAGAGAAGGATGAAGAACCAACATGACCCACATGTTGTGGTCTGGGGTGCTCAGAAGGGATGCTGTCACTAGCAATAGCTCAATAGCAGGCCAAATGAAACAAGCCTTGAGAAGATTCTGAAGGTGTGAACAATTCAGTTTTCCTTTTCTCAGCATGACGTATGATTAGGCATTTGCCCAAATGTTTGCATTCAGACCCCATCATAGGTCCTACTGATATGGCAAGACATTTTGGGCTGCTTAGAACAGACCATATTTTGGCAACTTTTGATGATACCAAATATCATCAAAGTTGATATAAATCAACTTTCTTCTGACTTGAGCTAAGAGGAATGCAAACGTTTTACTCACAATAGGGTATTTGTGAAACACGCTTACTTTGAAACTGTCATGTAATACTGGTTAAGGCAGATAAAGATAGAAAGATTAGCTTGTTTGAGACAGGGAAGAATTTTACTAATATATATTCAAGTAGGGAGATTTACAAATTAAATGAAATATTATTGTCTCCTTAGGAGTATGACCTCAGTTTAATTCAATAAGCCTTTATTAAATACATACTCTGTGCCCGGCACTATCATGGGCTGTGAGGATACAAGGACAAAAAAGAAACAGTGCCTACCCTCAAGGAGCTTATATTCTGCCACAAGGAAATAGCATGCATATAAAAATAAATAAAAATGTAATAGAGAAAATAAATATTTGTAATATACATTAATATACAGAGAAAATAAATACAAATTTTGAGGAATGTTAGGAACATTAACACCTAGGGGAACTAGAAAAGGCCTCCTCTAGGAGATGGCACTTGAACTAAGCCTTGAAGGGAACTAGGGATTCCATGAGGCAAAGGTAAGGAGGGAGAGTGTTCTACATGTTTGGGCAGCCTGTGAAAAAGCCCAGAAGTGGGAGATCAAATATCATGTAGACAGAACAGCAAGCAGTTCTGTAATGTAGAATATGTGAGGGTAAATAAGGTCAATCTGGAAAGATTGTTTGGAGCTAGATTGTGAAAGGCTCTAAATTCCAAGCAATGAAATTTATCTTTTATCCTAGAAGCAATAGAAATCCATTGGGGTTTCTTAAATAGGAGTGATGTAGGCAGATCAGTGCTTGAGGAATATCAGTGTAGTGCCAGTGTAGAAGAGAGGAGGGAGCCTATGTGCAAGGAGTTCAATTAGGGAACGATTGGAATATTCCTGGTGAGAGGTGATGAGGGAATAAAACTCAGACAGGAGCCATGTGAGTGAAGATCTGGCAACAAATGAAAGAGATATCATGGAGGTAGAATCTAAAAGACATCATTTTGTTCAGTCGTTTCAATTGTGTCTAACTCTTCGTGACCCTATTGGGGGTTTTCTTGGCAAAGATACTAGAGTAATTTTACCATTTCCTTCTCCAGCTCATTTTACAGATGAGGAAACTGAGGCCAACAGGGTTAAGTGATTTGCCCAGGGTCACACAGCTAGTGTGTGAGAGCAAATCTGAACTCAGATAGATGAGTCTCACTGATTCCAGACACAGCACTCTATCCACTGTACCACCTAGCTGCCCCAAAAGACTTCATACTTGATAGCATATGTGGGATATGAGGGAGAGTAAAGGGGATAACCCTTAGACAACAAAACTGGATGACTAGAAGGACGGTGGTACCCTCAACAGAAAAAGGAATGTTAGGAACAGGGGCAAATTTAGGGGAAAGGATAAATTAATTCTTTTTTGAACATGTTAAGTTTAAACAAACGAGATATATGTGGGACATCCAGGCGGAGACGTATAGTAGGCAATTAGAAATGCCAGAGATGTTCAACTGGAGCTCAGGTGAGAGATGTGGACTGCATATATAGATCTGGGAATCATCTACATAGAGATAATGGTTGAATTTATCAGAGTTATATAATCACCAAGGGAAAGTATGGGAACTATGATCTTCTTATGTGTCCCTCAAAATCCTATACACTAGATACATAAAGGATCTCTTTTTTATTATTGTTATTGCAAAGGATTTCTGTTTATTTTAAAGGTTCCATCTTTGGTTTCTGTCATCATCAACCCTGAGCTTCAGACTCCTGCTACCAAGTTTTGTCTCAGACAAAAGAATCACCAAGGATATAATAGGAATGTCTGGGCAATAGATTTTTTCCATGTTTTGCCTGTTCTACCTTCAACAGTATCCCATATGATACAGTTTTCTATCAACCTTGGATGTGGAACCCATCAGCCTGGTAACAGGTATGAAGGTTGAGATTTTGGTCTAACCTTAAATGAGAAAATGGATTTGGCTACTAGAACTAAAAATGAGTTGTCGTGTGTGTGTGTGTGTGTGTGTGTGTGTGTGTGTGTGTGTGTTTGTGTGTGTGTATTCTCTGTAAAAATCTTCTGGACTTTAGTATAGAGCTAAAACATTTTCATCCTTGTACAAAATTAGATAACTTTAATAATAAATAAGTCTAACAGTCATTTTCTATTATACACTTTCCCCAAATGTATGTATAATGATGTTACTATGAAATTCAAGTTGTCTTATAAGGGTTCTTGTGTTCTTGATCCTAATACTTTGGCCTCAGTTATGCCAAAAGATATCAGTGTTGTTCTGGAATAGCAATATAAGCTGTGGAAGCTAACCACTTGGAAAGATAGCTTAGAGTGAAGGAAAAATAAATAATCTGAGAAAAACTTGACCCCATGTCAATGATATGTGACCTCCTAATAACAGTCACTAAAATCAGTGAGCAGTTGGAAGGCCAGGCATGACTTCTCATTCTTGATCACTATAGTGTTGCTTTTGTCCTGTCTCTGGCTTAGAATATCTCCACTCTCATTTTAGCATCATGAAATGGCAATGGGAGATGAAGTAATTGCCTTCCAATCTATCAATTTCAAGTACTCTAACTCAGGTTATTATTTGCCATCTTGAAAATATTGAATTTATCTTTGCACAAGTAATGTGGCCATTTGTCAATCAAGGGAGGTTTGCCTATCAAGGAAAAGGAAAATAACTATTTGGGACAGACCTCTTTAAGAGTTTTCCATTTCTGTCCAACACATACTGGCGTTGTGTTCAGTGAGGTATGAATTGTTTTACTTTACTTGTCTTTGCCCCTTATTCATCATTGATTCTTTTATTGATGGCAGTGTCAGCTTAGAATTTTCAACCAATCACGGGCGCTCCTGGTCTCTGCTTCACACTGAGTGCTTACCTGACATATGTGCTGGGCCGCATCTCCCTCACAGTACTGTCTATTCTTCTGAAAACTATAGTGGGTAAGTACATCCTTTCTGAAAATAGTGGAAGATTTGAAACTTTTGACATGTCAAAGAATAAAACCCGCCTTTTTTATGTATGGCTGCCCTAAAATAAGGAACAGGAACCAAAGTGACTCATTTTTATGTACTTTAGAAAAGTGGCCTGAAAAAATAAAGGAAAGTACTTTTGGTAAATCTGGTCATAAAGCCCCATCTTATCTTTTTAGTTGTAGTTCAACAGTAATATTTATTTTTAAAAGTGCCCATTTATTGGATTCTAATTGCTTGTAATGTAGTTTGTCAATTTCTTTGACACAAGAAGTTAAAGTATAAGAAGGGAGATTTCTACTTTATTTTAAAAAATTATTCTGAACTAAACATCAAAAAATAAACATTTCCAAATAACAGAGCAAAATGAAAAAGAGAATTCCATATGAAACCATGAATCTCTATTTCATACCATTTCCACACAGAGAGGGAGAGAGAGAGAGATGGATGGATGAATGTATATATACATCCTTCTACTTATATATAACCAATTCCATAGGCTACTCTCCAAACTTCCCTGCTTATCTGTGCCTTCCTTTGAACTACCCCATATTCTTTTTTGTGTGTATTTTACAATGTTTAAGTGACCCTCTTTTTTCTGGTATTGCTTTTCCTAACCACTTATTTTCAATCCTCTCCCAATTAAAAACCAGGAGGAAATAAATAAACCTTATAACAAAAAGTATAGTTAAATAAAGCATATACATTCCATGGCCATGGCCAAAAATATGTTTCTTCTACAACTTACATTTATTATGTCTCTGTCAGGAACTGAGTAACATGTTTCATCACAGACCCTCATTACTTTGATTAGACTTTTTAAGTCTTTCAAAGTTGTTTTTCTTTACGATGTTGTTATCCTGGTATAAATTGTTCCACTGGTTCTGTTCACTTAACTCTGCATTAGCTCATACTATCTAGGATTGTTTGAAATGATCTCTTTTATAATTTCATATGACAAGATAATATTCCAATACAGTCATATACCACAATTTGTTATCCATTCCCCAATTGAAATGTACCCCTTAGACTCTAGTTCTTTTATTTTTTTTTATCCCACTTATTTCCCTATTGAGTCTGATTTATTTCTACATTTCTTCATTTCTACATTTGAACATTTCACATAAGAGTGAGATTCACATGATCCCCTTCTTCCTCCACATTTATATGTTTTTCACATATCCCAGTTTTGTGAAATAACAAATTCTAACCTCATCTTTCTCCTTGGAATTGGCACACTAGCACATACCTTTACCTCTCATCTCACTTCCCTCTTAAAATCCTCAGAACAGAACCAATTCACTCACAGGACTGGTTTTTTTTTTTAATTTCACTCCACAATAACTTTTATACAATCCAAAGTTCTGAAGAGAAACTTCTTTCTTCTCCCTCTATTAGAATGTCAAATCATCATATGGCCACTTCCAATTTCTCAAATAAAGTTAGCACTCTAGATTTCTCTTGACTCTTGTGTTTATATTTTAAAGTTCATACTTAGCTCTAGTCCCATTTCTCAATGCCACCATTCTATACTTACTTTGTAGATTATTCTTGGATATAAGCATTTCTCTTTTGCTTTTTACAGTATTGTATTCTAAGATCTTCTATCATTTGTAGTAGAAGCTGACAAGTCTTGTGTGATCCTGATTGTGATTCCTTAGTAGTTAAAATGCTTCTTTCTGAATGCTTGAAATATTTTTTCTTTGATGTTAGAGCTCTGAAGCTTGGCTATGATGTTCTTGACCTTTTATTATGGGAGATCCTTTCAGGAATTAGTTTGTTTCTATCTTTACTTTGCCCTCTGAGTATGAGATATGGGCAGTTTTCATTTATGATTTCTTTAAATATATTAACCGGACTTTTTAATCACTATTTTCAGTGATTCCAATTCTTAAATTATTTATCCTTGACTTGTAAACCTCTTATGTTTTCTTTTATTTCTTAATCTTTTGATTTTGTTCTAATATTTTCTTGCTATCTCATATAGTCATTGATTTCTATTTGACTTATTCTAGTTTTCAAGTGTTCCATTTTTGGGTTGTTTTACTATTTTCTTTTCTTAGCTAATTCTCCTCCCAGTTCTTTCTTCCAGAGTGTTTATGTTTGGTTTTTTTCTTTTGTTTCATTTCTTCTAGACGCATAATTTTTATAAAAATAAATTTCTTCCTTCGAATCTCTGCTTACAGTTGTTTTGGAGGTGCTCTCTCCTTCTTGGATAGACTCTGAGTCATTTTTAGAATGACTATAATGTTTTATATTGATCAGTGTCTACTTTGATTTACTCATCTCTCTAATTCCTGAATTGGAGCTTTGTCTCAGGGCCAAATTCTGTTTCTTGTTGCACTTTCTGATGGGTTGCTCAGCCCTACATAATTTTGCCCTGGGTCACTTGGGTGATTGCACTGACCTTCACTTCCCGTGTTTAGTTCCCCCTCCCCTGTGTTTTTGAGATTCTGAGAGTTGGATGTGCAGGACCCTGAATGGCTTCTCAAGACATGCTAGAAGACTTCAGAACCCCTGGGTGCCTGGGATGTTATCATCAAAGTGCTACTGCACACCATTAGTCACTTCCTGTCCTGCTAGTTTTCAGCATCCCCACTGTGGGTTTACAGCCACTATGGAGTGTTCCAACTACACTGAGCCTTTCTGGGAGGATCATTCAGCTTTCTTAAGTCCAGCCACAGATCCCTGTAGATCACAACCATTTCTGATAGTGCTCGGAGGCTGCCAGCTTTTTTGCTTAAAATGGTATTGACTTCTTTAGCAGCTTCCTTATTCCCCATGAGCTTCTGACCAACTTTTTCTGTAGTTCTGGAATGAAAGAAATAACTTGCTGTTGTTTCCTCTCATTGAATTTCTTGGTCATTATTTAGTCTAGTGCTAATTTCAGGTATTTTGCTGGAGTAGTAATAGGTAGATTCCCAATTAGGGCAAATAATGAATCCCATGAAATAGACACATTATTTTAATTCAAAGTTATAATTATATGTAAAATGTAGCCATTGTTTCCAATTCTATGGAAATATGCAATGGAAAATTTTTAAAATGAGATTTTTTTTATGTTTGCTAACATAATACAATAGCAAAAGATAAAATATTTCTGATTCAAGTTCATTACAAAATAATATAGTAGTTCTAGAAAGCAAAATTAAAAATATTTTAAAATTATTGAAAGTCATACTTAAAAATAAGCCTACACTTAGCATGTGATGAAAACATCATCATTGTAATTTAAAATATTTTAGTGGTGTAGAATGAACTATCTTCTCCTTCTGTGAATCTTGGCACATATACCGGTAGGTACAGATTACTTTATCTGTATGTCAGTAAATTTGCATGATCAATATCTCACACAAGCGTAGTTTAATGAGCTGGGGCATTATCTAAAATCAATAATGCTGTATGACAATGTAATATTGTTGTCCTTGCAATATTTTGCCACAGCTGGACTAAAATGACTTAAGAACCCATCTTTGAAAACTGCTTTCATCACCGCTGCTTTATTACTTAACTACCAAAGAACTAGAAGTGATCAGTGGCTGTATTTTCTCAGGGCACAAAGATTGGAAGGCTGATACACAAGCTTTGGTTTTAAGTTAAAATCCCGTTTGCATTATGTCCCAAAAAAAATTATCAGGTGACATTAGACCCTTTAAGTCAAGTTTGAGGTTCTTTATTTTCTTAGAAACATAAATTCTAAAAGCTTTCCTTTTCCAGAATATTTCTATTCCATCCACATTAAAAAATCGTTGATCAGTGTATCTGCCTTCTTCAATTATTTTCTTCAGAACAACATCCCAGGGTGTCTTCATCTGCACTGATCCCCTCTTTGGTCATGTTAACATTATGAAATTGAACTCAGTTTCTTAAAGTGATCAAACCAATCTACTTTCAGTAGAAATCTCTTCATTTTCTACTTAATTTCCATTTTCTTTCACTGCCTTAAACTTGAAACATTTGTCTGAATAGCTGCTCTGCATTTTTGTTTGCAGTCTTCAATCTATACTACTAAAAGACACTCTATTTCTATCACTAGACATTTCTTTAACTTCTAGTTGTTTGCAAACCATGAGAAACTGGTACAGGTTTGCTTTTTTCTTTTTATTTTACCTGCATTTTTAATAATCTGTCTTGTCAAGCATGCCAACATCTTGTCCCATTTTAGAATTATTGTGACCCTTTTCTTGCCTTTCAATTACATCAATTTTTGTTGTTGTTGTAATGGAATAACAGACATTTTCTCTCTCTTTTTCTGCTATCATTGTTTCTGTCTCAAGTATTCTTTCTTTTTTGCTCTTTGTTAAGGATTCTTCATCAAAAATCTTAACACAACTGTTGTGAATATGCTACCTGGCAGCACATCACACCCAAACATGACAATAAACAAATGCAGATTAATAATACAGCAGTTTGATAAGACCCTAGACTAGTGCATACACATTGTAGTGATTGAATTTTGACTTGCATTAAATGTAATCTGGTATCATTTTATAATTCACACTAAATCAAATTTCCCATTTGACCTATCTCTGTGCTGGGCAATCTGCCTTTATTCAGACAGCTATCTTTATCAGAAGGCCAACCTATTCTTATCTTCATGCTCACATGGTCATACATTTCCACTTTATGTGCTTGGCATTGAGGCAGGTAGAAGACAAAGTGGACAGAGCAAAAGGCTAGAAGTCAGGAAGACTTTAATTCAAATTTTGCCTCCAGCACTTAGTAGCTGTGTGACTTTAGACAAGTCTCTTAACCTCCCTAGTCTCAACTTCCTCATTTGTGAAATGAGAATGTTGGACTTAGTGGACTCTAAGATTCTTTTAGCTCTAAATCTATGACCCTATGATCATTGTAAAACATCACCAGAGTTAGAAATATTATGGAATAGCCCTATGAATACTTAAAATACAAACACAAGCAGAATACTTTTTGTTATTCATTTGTTTTGGTTGTATACAACTCTTTGTGACCCCTTTTGGGGTTTTCTTGGCAAAGATACTAGAGTGGTTTGCCATTTCCTTCTCCAGCTCATTTTACAGATGAGGAAACTGAGACAGATAGTGTTAAGTGATTTCCCCAGGGTCACACAGCTAGTAAGTGTCTGAGGCCAGATTTGAACTCATGAAGATGAGTCTTCCTGACTTCAGGCCTGGCATTCTATCCACCGTGACACATAGCTGCCCACTTACCAGTCTGTGAAAAGTAGAAAGTCAAAGTTGACCATACAGATAGATTATTTCCTAGCTTCTGTTTAATATACTTTACTTTGAGAAGGAGGATGCAAGCTATGATATGGCACTGTCCTCAGCTGGGTGATGAGTAGGCATCCTGTCTCTATACAAAAACTGTACAGCAGTCTATCTAGAGATTTCACATCAGCTTTAAAAATAAAGAATGTGTTTGAAACAAGTGCAAAGTTCTACAAGAGAGAACAGGGAATTGGAAAGAACATTACCTTTTTAACATGAAACACATTTTAGCAGGTATATGTCAGTTTAAAATGATTGCTAATAAGGTCAGATGCATAATAATTTAGGTCAATAGATAGGTCATAATAAGTTAATAGATTGTTGGATCAGGCATGTGTCAGTTAAAAATTATCCCTAATAAATTTGGATGCATAGTAGTTTAGTCAAAGATTAATATTATTGGAGCTGGAGGGACATTACAGATCATGTAATCCAGCCTTCTAATTCTCTATATGGGGAAACTGAGACCCAGAAAGGCTGTGACTTGTCCAGGGTCACAAAGGTAATTAATGGCAGATCTGAGAATCAGAGTCTAGGATCTTGATTTCTAATCCAGAGTTATTTTTGCTATACCATGGACATCTGAATACAAGTACAAGTAGATTAAAGCAAGAATACTAGCAAAATAGTTATATCCCATACATGCAGAATATCTTGTAATTGATGAGAATTTGAACTTAGCCATGAATTAAATTTTGTGTGTTCAATTTCTTGCAGGTGGAACCGAATAACTATCCCCCTCCCTAATGCGGCACTAACCAAGGACACCAGGATTCGCTGGAGACAAATGGGCCCGATCCTTGGAAACATGTGGGCGATTGATAATAGTTAGTATTTATGCCTATTATAATCACATACCATTGATGTAAACTCTTCCTGCACTTCTGCTAGTTCAGCACAGACTTCATCACATTTGGAAGTTATAGCCCTGCAATTCATTAAACACTCTTTCTTCCTTTGTGCCTATGCTTTCTGTTAGGAAGCCCAGGGATGAGCAATCAGAAAAGGCAGTGGAGTCAGCAATAAAAGGTCCTGGTATTTTGCAACATACATAATTAAAATGTTTTTAAAGCCCCGAAACTCAAACTCCCAGGCTTGATGACAAGGGATAGCCTAACATTCCCTTCAACTGTTTACATCGAATTAACATAAGTATATCCCACACTGCGCTATTAAAATAAGGCCTATTCTTCTCTTAGTGGCTGCCACAACATCTGGGATGCTCATATGCTAAACACAGAAGACCTTCATAAAGAAACACCATCACTATAATAAAATGCAAAGCCTAAATGATTCATGAGAGTGTAAATATGCCATCCATACTACGTGCAGCATCTCTCACAAATGTCTTTTCCTTTCTATCCCCGTGGCCACCCCTCAAGTATAGATCAGCTGTACTGTTGCAATAGACTCTTAATAGGACTTCCTGCCTGCCCTCCCACAACCCCTCCAAACCTTCCTTAATATTGCTGCCAGACTTCTATTTCTCATATGTAGTTCTAGTCTTCCCTCCACAATGTTCGATCTTCAGTGGCTCACTATTATTTACCAATTAAAGTTTAATCTTCCTTTCCTACCATTCCCAGCATCCCACAATATAATGCCAACTTATGTTCCCCACTTTATCTCAAATTGCTCCCCTTCATTAATTTTGTGTTCCAAGCAAATTGAACCAATCTCTAACCTCCAAATACATGTTGAACTTTCCTGCCTCTGTACCTTGGCTCATGCTTGAAACATCCTTATTCCAATCTTCACCTGTCACATTTCTACTTGTCTTTTAAAGTCCAGCTCAAATGCACCCTCTACCATGAAGTGTTTTCACCATCAGGACTCAAATAGCACATAGTTTTACAACTCTCTAATGCAAGTACTAGAGTGGTTCAGTTATCTATACATGCTTCTGACCCCCTTACTAGACTATAAGCTCCATGAGAATGACAGCCTTTTCTTATCTAAAATATTTATGGTACATTGTGCTTTATGCCTTAGACACAAGATAAATGTTTGTTGAATTGAATTTGGGAACCTCTCTGAAGATGAATTTATTAAAATACATGAGCAAATTCCAAATACAGGGAAGTTAACATAACTCTTTGGGGAAGAAATTGTAGTGTCCTGCTTATAATCAGTATTTGTTCAGTATCTAATCTGTCCCCAACAGTGTATGATGCATTGTCACTGTGAGTTTAAACAAATGAAATGATAGTGGTTAATAGTGTGGCCATAATGCAAACCTGGAAGCAGGAAATCTTAAATTCTGTTCTCAACCAAGGCAGGGAACTGCCTCAGGGCTCAACCTAAGCAACTCCCTCAAAAGAACAACAATAACCAGCTCTCTGTCTTATCTGCAAGAAGGAAAACATGACATTTGCCTCCTTCTGGGAATTGGTGAGAATTCACTAATGAATGATTCCTTTTTCCTTCCTGATCCCTTCTGAATCCGAGTTCTTTCTGAAAATAGAAAATTGTATGTTAAAATAATATAATTGTGAAGAAAAGCAAACTGGTAGATATCAGTAGATGTCAGAATTTTGTTAGGGATATATACATATATGTATATGTATATATATGTATATACATACATATACATATATGTATGTATATACATATATATGAGTGTGTATGTATTTTATTATTATGGACTCAGATTCAGTGTCTGTGCTGCTTAATTACAATTCAGTAACAACCCTGCAAAAAAGTTTATGCAAGAATTATGACTTCAGTTTTACAGGTAAGGAAACTGAAATTCAGGGAGAGATGGGATTAAACCCAAGTGTCTTGATCTTAAGTCTAAATTCTCTTTTTTCTGGATTGCCACACTGCCTCTCTCTTTAATTTTTTTTTGTTTTGTTTGTTTGTTTGTTTGCTTTTTTGGTGAGGCAGTCAGGGTTAAGTGACTTAGTGACTTGCCCAGGGTCACATACCTACTAAGTGTCATGTGTCTGAGATGAGATTTGAACTTGGATCCTTCTGACTCCAAGGCCAGAGCTCTATTCACTGCACCACCTAGCTGCCCCTCCTCTCTTTTTTTTTATAAGGAAAGAACCTTTGGAAATTTCCTAAAAATATTAAGACAACTAGGTTGGTACTTAAAACTAGCCTGTAGTTTACAAAGAGGAAAAGTCCACTATTGTTATTTGTAAGTTTCAGGTAAGGTTGTTACTATTCTTCTGGGGAAAAAAAGATGAAAATGGTGATACAGGGGAAAATATATATTTTTTCTTCCTTACCCTCAAGAAAAAAAATTTTTTTTGTTCATCATCAAGAAAATTTGCAACCTAAGATTATTCTTTAATGTATTAAAACTCTTGGATAGAAAATTGTGGTGACAAAGAACACTTTTCTTAAAACTAAATTTTAGTTAGTGCCTTGGAGGTATTCACTTTTAAATTCTGATGGAGACTTTTTTATAACTAGAATCAATGACTTTTTGAACTCTGTATGCCCACTTTAGTAGGTTTGGGGAAATACCTGGCATCACCTCTAGGCTGTGCTGAACTGCAGAATAAATTAGCCCATCTAAAAACCATAAGGCATGTATGCCTGGAGCCATTGAATTAGATGTAAATGGTACCCATTTACATATGGCAAATGGTTGTTTCCTTGGCTTCACATTTCCTGAGTGATAATTAGGTATACTGTGTAGTCCATTGGAGCAGCCAAAGGCTACTTATGCTTGGTAGAAGTACCACATTTGTCATCAGCTTCATCCATCCAAAAAGCAAGCACAAAAACTTATGCCAGCATATTGTTGATCCTGTTGTATCCTGAGGCAAGGCCAAGGTAGGACTGTACCACGAACAAGGTTCGACAGCCTGTTTTGGCACAGGCTGGGAAATGAGAAAAGGCAAAAGCTGAAAGGTTCCTATTTGGGAGGTGTACAGGCAGAATGGCTAGGTTGACTGTGAACTTCCAGTAGACAGAGATCATATGCCATGGGTGCTAAAGGTTATGTCTAGACAAGAAGCAGGAAGTAGTACCAGATTCAAGCAAAGCGTGAAGAGCAGGTAAAAAACAAAGCAACAAAAAAAAAAAAACATGATCTTGGGGTTAGGCTTGGGGTTTGATACTGAGAAAACAGAAAGCATCCAAGCTTTATGTAGAATTTGTAACTTACAGCCCTGTTCTTATGGACACTGGTGTGTTCTTAGTTCCACATGTTGAGAAGTAACATGACATAATGGATAGAGAGCATGGCATTTGGGAGTCAGGAAGGTATGGGCTCAAATTTTGGTTGAGATACCAACCAGCTTTGTGGCACTTAGCAAGTGACTTAACTTTTCTTTAACTCATTTTTCTGAGGAAGTTGGACTTCATGACCTCAAAAGTACCTTTCAGTTCTAATTTGTGATCTGAATTTGGATTTGTAACTTCCCACAATCAGTAGAATATTGTGCTTTTTAAAAAGAATATGTTGTTATGTCAACATCCTTGGGAAAATAATTGTTTTTAAACTGTTCAAGAAATGTGTTATTCTCCCCAAGTTGATTAACATTCAGAAATATTTTTAAGAACCATAGGTAATTGGTGGTCCAATTGTGCTCACATATAGAGTTGGAAATTTCAAGAAAATGTATCTCACTTGATCCTTTGACATATCCATATACCCTTTTGTGATTCTTCTTTTCCCAAAGAAAAAAATATGAACCTTATAAAAATATAATGACTCAGAATAAAAATATATTGTTTTAAGTAGTTTAAATGGTTTGGTTGTACAAAGGAGAGTCAATCACAAGTGTCCTCCTCTATTCTTCTCTGTGCACTATATATCAAAATCTTGAAAATGTAATCTGTGAACTCTAGCATGTTTGTAACCTAAGCAATTAACTTGTCATAGAATGTACCATATGTCACCTTCAGTTTCCCTGAACTTCCACAAATAGGGGCTATATGCCATACATATAAAGTATAATATCTCATTTTTTTGTTTCATAAAATTATTCCACGTGTGGGTGATGATTTTAGCTTTTCCAATACTATAACTTTTATTTACACAAACCTTTGTTTTCCTTTGGCAGTTTATATTGGTCCATCATGCCTCAAATTCTGCTCTGGAAGAGGACAATGTACTCGAAATGGCTGCAAGTAAGCGCTCTAATAATAATATTTGTAGGTTTTAAAAAACATGTAATTTGTGTTGCAAGCCACAAATTGTTATGCTTTTTCAGGTTAAGTCAGTTGGATTCTACCAAGGACAAATGCAAAATTTGTTGAACATAAATTCATTGCTATAAAATTGTTATTATTATGTATTCTTTGTACATGGAGTTGTGTTTCAGTTTTCTATATGTTAAACCTAGAAAAAAATTTAACCAAGCATTCCATTTTGTAATCTATTGAATTTCAGATACTTTGCTATGTACTTTCTGCTTGCCAATCCAAATCATTATGCTGTCCCTCCATTAACTTGGTCCATTCTTTGAGTGTTCTTGAGTCATTTTTTAAAAAAAAAATTACATGGAAATGTTTTCTAAATTAGCTGCAAAAACAACCACTCACTCATATATCCAGGAAACAAAATAATTCAGGATGGACCTAATGGGTAGAATTTAGCAACTTTAATGAGAAAATTAATATTTTGATCTCATCTATAAGTTCATTTTCCTTTCAAGGAAACTTGTTTGTGAGACTTCTAATATACTTCCTGCCTTCATGCGATTTTTAACTAGTTTGGCTTCTTAATCTTTTATGTAAATAATGATATAAAGTGACTTAAGTGTATAGAAGAAGGAAGTATAGCAATTGATGAAAATGGTGATAAAAGCAAAATAAAATCTTACAAATCTAGAATTTTTAAAAGAATATTATAAACTATGCAAGAGGAAGGTATGAGAGATATTGCATACTATAAATGTTATATATTAGCAAATAACAGCCAGCATTTCTACAGTACGTAAAGTCCATGAAGTACTTCACATATATTATTTTTCATTTTATTCTCACTATGACCTTGGGAAGTAGTACCTATTATTATACTCATTTTACAGATGAGAAAACTGAGGATAGGAGGGTTTAAGTGAATTGTGCTCACACAGCTAGTAAGAACATAAAGTAGGATCCAAACTGTGGTCTTCCTTAATCCAAGTTGAAAACTATCCACTATCCTACCCCGCTCTTGTGAGTCATTTTCGCTTTGCATTTTTTGTGATACAGGTTTCTGTATGAAGTTCTTCTCTTTTTGTTCTATGAATTTTAATGTTCCCTTAGACCTATGGTCTCATCAGTGTGGGTACTGCCTATAGTAATGCAGATCGCAAACTCTATCCCCTCTCAACCTGTGCCATGCTTGTATAAGGCCTTCCAGAAAATCTCCTGATGTCTGCCCAATGTACTGAATACCTTCTTCTGGCATCAGAGATATTATAATCTAAATAGTAGCACATTAGTAATTTAATGGATAATCTCCTTTGGTCCATATTGGTATTTGAACTGAAGAGAAATATCTACACACCTCAGATTTATTTATTACATAGTACTTAAGCCATGTGCAACTGTGTATTAATTCAATGCATAGGCTTAACAGGCACTTGCTAAATTTCTAATCTTTGTATTTGACCTATATAGATTTCTGTCTTTGTCTATCGTATCATCCATTCTGCTTTTCCTCATCCTCCCCATACACACATTCCAAAAATTGAGAATAATTTAAGGGACATTCATTATGGTCACTCAGGAGCATCAATGCATGTTTCAGACATGACATTTATGAGAATGGACAGCCAATGCCAACATTTCAAAATATTTTCAACCATCCAGCTTCCAATCAAAAAGAGTTCCATTGAAAATGGAATATTTAAAAATACGAGAAAAATTACAAAGATGTGAAAAAGGTTTCAGAGCAGACAAGCATGGTTTAATGGAAAGAGTGCTGGTATTTGAGTCTAAGGACTTGGGTTTGAATCCTGGCTCTGCCACATACTACCTGCATTACCTTGGGCAAACCACTTCACTTCTCTTGGCCTCAGTTTCCTCTTCAGTGAAATGAAAGGACTGAATTCAAAGGTATCTCAGTTCCCTTCTGATGCTAAATCTATGATCATTGGTTTTTAGGAGGAAAGCAAAATTTGCTTCATAGTATTTTCACCAAATTTCATCTTAAATGCCTTGGCAAAAAAGCAGATTCTTCACATCTAGAAGTGATTACCTGAATAACTTTTTCAGGTTTCTTTTATGTCTCACTCCTACATGGGTAATCCTTTCTCTTTTTAAGTTTCCACAATGCTATAAAAATATTAATTTTATATTTTCTTTATTCTGCAGTTCCTGAAAGATATTAATTTTGTGTCTCAATGTTGTTTTATCCAACATGCTAGAAAGCACTATTTACAAGAAAATATTTGTAAAGTAGCATCAGTGAATTTTTTCCTCAAAAGCTTCGACATAGTATTGATTAGATTTTATTAAAATAAATATCAATGTTAACACTAATTGTTTCAAACAGAAATATGAGTAGTCATTTTAAGCCTTCACTATTTAATCTCAATAATCATTCCTATTATATAGTGCTTTAGGGTTTGCAAAATGTTTCCCTAAGATCAGTTCTATGAGTAGGTATTCCAAGTGCTACTATCCATAGATGAAGAAACTGAGGCTCAGGAGGCAAAGTTTCCCACCCAAGATCCCAGAGCTAGCAAATGTCATAAGTATGTTTGAAATTCTTGTCTCTAGTTTTCAAAGTCAAAGATATATTAGTATAAAATATTATCATATACAATGCATTAATCCCACACTCCATTGCTAAGTTTCCTTAGATATACAGGAGTATTCCAAAATACCATTCCATCAGGTCTCTATTTGTAGTGAGGAGGAAAAAAATGGGCTACCTAACATGTCAGCCATACATCTATGCCCATAATCAGCAAGGTTTTCTTTTAGATGATTCTGCTATTGTAATTTATTTAATGCATACTTATTATCCAACTGCTGTGTGAATGTTGTGAGCACTATGGAAGCTACAAATATAATAGAATGCAGGATCTATGTCTACCCAGAATGCACTGGTAAGGAAATAAAATGCAAACTTAGAGGCAATGTGGCATAGTAGAAAGAGTCCCAGATTTGGAATCAAGTGACCTCTGGGCACAAATTCAACATTTGACCTTACTGTATAACCATGGACAAATTATTTAACCTCTCTCCCTGGTTTCTTCATCTGTAACATGGAGTAATAGCTTGAAATCCTTACCTTATTAGGATTATTATGAAGATCAAATATTAATATATTCATAAAATGCTTTGAAAACTTTAAAGAACTTATGAAATCCAGTTATAATATACAGTAATATTACATGAGTGAATTCAAGGTTCCGCATGAGATATGAATAAGAAAGTAAAATATACCTAAGGGGATCAAAAAAGCTTCATAGAAGAGGTGGCATTTGAGTTTGACTTCAAGGAATGGAAAATTATCTGTAGGTGAAGCTTGGAAGGACATTCTAGGAGTAGGAAACAGTGTGAGCAAAGACAGAGCAATAAGTGTAGTTTCACTGTAATGTACAGTACGTGATTGGGGAAGGGCAGTGATATGAGGTGAGAATGTAAAGATAAGTTGATGTCAGATAATGGAGGGACTGGAGTGCCAGGCAAAAGAGTTTGCAGTGCATGCTGTCATTTGGGGTGTTTTGAGCTATGTAGATTCAGGCAAAATACTCTTAGTTTCTTTGGAAACTACTCATAATCTGATGGCCAACTATGGCATCATCCTTTGGGCATGTGTCATAGGATTGATTTGGGTTTTTTTACATTCCTTTTGACAATGAAATATATTTTGGATACATAAGTGACTTGAACAGGATCCCACAAAGATCTACTTTCTGCCAAATTCCATTCTGTAGTAAAGCGAATTACATTGAAATTTCAGTGTTCTTATAGGAAAGGCAAAATAGAAAAAATAGTAAAGAAGATAGTAGCAAATAGAAAAAGTGTGTGCGTGAGTTCCTGATTAAGAAATACTTCAGTCGTGTTTTGTTAGTTTTTGTTTTGAAACCACAAAACCTATTATTTCATTGGTCTAGAGAATTGCCTGTGAGAAAGTTCATTTAGCAATGCCCACTGGCTCTTGGTCTGCAACTTATAATATTAGGCAGTTGCCGGGGGCACTAAGAAGTACAGTAACTTGCTCGGGGTCACACAGCATTAAGTGTAAGAGGTAGAACTCCATCCCAGGTCTTCTTGACTCCGGGCCAAGTGTATGTTTACTGCACCACATCTCTCTCTTAAAGATAATTCCCTTCAAATCATTGGCATTCCTGGTGTTAAACTAAAAATACATTTAAGACAATGGTTTCTTGAGGTTGGCTCAAGTGCCCACATCAGTTCATATGAAAACAGAAAATGCCCGCAAACACAAGCATGCAGTGGCATCTTTTCTTTGGAGCTCCACCAACCTAGGATCCTGATTTCTAATAAGGACATCCACATGGATCAAGGGTTAGTGTTTTCCCATAAGACTGTTGGTATTCTGTGGGTCTTAAAGAGTCAAAACAGAGAGACTAAAGAACAGGATGCAGTTGTATTTTCCAGTTCCAAGTGACATAATATTAGCCCCTAAATACATTTCAAGTTAGAGCATAATCGTTGCATTTTACCTAGCTGAAATATATTACTTGCATTTAAAACATTATCTACAAACTTTCAATTTCTTGCCAAATATAACTCAGAAATAAGTCTCCTGTTCATGGAATTTGCTATGTAGTTTTGATATTCATCACCTTGAAGCAAATTACATACTTTGCAGACTGCACCTTTATTGAGTGACTTCCGGATAGAACTATGCATGAATATAGGTATGTAGAATTTGTCAAAGGTGCACAATGAATTATTGTTTTAATCATTGCCTTTTTTTATAGTACTGCTCTGCCAAGAATACATTCCATTAGGATATTTACAATCATCCAGACCCTGCTGACTCTTCAGATTCAGAGCTCTTGGAAGGCTAATAAGCTGCACTTACCATTCAATCAAATGCTTGACTTTATTCTCCCAAAAGTGGATTCAGAAAAAGCTCTGAAAAAACAAAAGGTTAAAATTGAAAGCAACAAAGTTTAATATTTAATTTTGTTGTATTTCTCTGACAGGTGTGACCCTGGCTTTTCAGGTCCAGCTTGTGAAATGGCATCCCAAACATTCCCAATGTTCATCTCTGAAAGCTTCGGAAGTTCCAGGCTCTCTTCTTACCACAACTTTTACTCTATCCGTGGTGCTGAAGTTAGCTTTGGATGTGGTGTGTTAGCCAGTGGAAAGGCATTGGTTTTCAACAAAGATGGGAGGCGTCAGCTCATTACATCCTTTCTTGACAGCTCACAGTCCAGGTGAGCTAAGAAATGAATGGCAGAGTGATATAACTAATTTAATTTTCTGATCTATGTATTTTCAAATTTTCTCTTATTTCCATAAAATGTTGCTTTAACCTTTCTCTAAATCATAATTAAGATTGGAGACAAGGGCTAATTTTGGGTTCATCCACTCTTTTTTTTTTTAGCAATTCAAATATTTCATGAATGACTTTAGGGTATTTATTACCAGCCAAATGGAAAAATATGAAATGTTAGCATCAAAAAATGTGTGCCAGAGCCAAGTGCAAATTAATTATTTATGTAGTTTTATTTATTTGACAGCTTGTGGTGGCTGATTATATCCCTTCCATGTCTTCCCTTCCCCCAGTACCTAATAAATAATGCAGTACAGTGATGATTGGCACTTTAAATGTGTATATGTCATATACACATATTTGTGTATGCATGTATGTTTTTATGAATGTAAACAAGATATGTATTCTCTTCTATTGCATATAATATTTTACATATATGTATACATACATATATACATATATGTATACATATTCCACACTGACATTAAAGGGAGGTAAAGTCAGTCACAAAGCAGTGTGGGAAGTTCATCTAAACTTGCCTGGAAGTCTTTTTAAAAGCAATAATGAATATAATATTTTGAAATGCTTATGTATACTCACTAATCTGCATAAATTAATTTTTATTCAGGTTTCTCCAGTTCACATTAAGACTGGGAAGCAAATCTGTTTTGAGTACATGCAAAGCCCCCAACCAGCCTGGGGAAGGTGTTTTATTGCATTATTCTTATGATAATGGAATTACATGGAAACTACTTGAACATTATTCTTATCTCAACTACCACGAGCCAAGGTATGTTGGACACAAAAGAGATGTAATGATAGCAGCTTCTTTCTGAAATCATAATATGTAATGATAGACTACAAATAGTCTGCCATTGAGTTTTAGCCAGGACAAAGACTAATGAGTCCTGGAATGATAAATTAACCATGTTTCTTTTTAGCAAATTCCATCCTGGCTGAGTTTCTATATTGTAAAGAAAGTGATTTTTTACATTAAAAATGTTTCATTCAGAGAAAGCTGAAATTGGTATAATCATGAAGTTAAATGTATGTACAAGTTAACAGTGATTTTTTTCTTTTATAAAACTGAGACAATTGAACATTCAAATATAGACCTAAATTACCAATTTTGTTGACAAGTTTTTGCTAATAAAATGACAATTCCAGAATCATCTTGGATCGAACAACATTATTGATTCTATTGATAAATAGTATCTTTTTTTGTGTATTATACTATTTTATATAATAGTTTTAACAAGTAGAAGTCCAGTAGATGCAGGGAAGTGTTTCTAGGATATATTATTTGTCATAAATAGAGGTTAAAAATGTATTTAGCACTCCACTTTTTTACCATTAAAGCCTTATTGGTGAGAAGGCTGCTATTTATTTAAGCATTTCTGGGTCTTTAATTACAGTTCTAGAATGTAAAATTTCCTTGTAGTATGACCAAGTATGCCTATACAGAGGTAATTTCAGATATATTGGGAAGTATTTCTTCATTTTTCAAAAAAATACTTCATCAACCTCCTCATAGACACTTGAAATTCATTTTACACAATGAAGTCTTCATTCCAAATTTAGGACTAGGGAATGACACACAAAACTTAGGAGAGGTAACATTGGTTTAATCCACGCTAATGAAAAGTTGACCAAAAATTCTTTTCTAAAAGAACCTTTCAGTAAGAGAACTGTACTTGTCCTCTGAGAAAGATGATGATAAGTATAGAGAAGGGAGGAAGGAAAAAAAGAAATAGAATAGCTCAGGAACAAACTTCTCCTACTTTAAAATTTTACTTAAGTCTTGCTTTTACAAATACAATAAAACTTTTTTACTCAAATCAAATGGAGTTGTATCCTGATTGGATGGATGATTGGAGAGAGAGAGAGAGAGAAAGAGAGAGAGAGAGAGAGAGACAGACAGACAGACAGACAGACAGACAGACAGGCAGGCAGGCAGACAGACAGACTGACTGACTGATGCATGCATGCAATCCAATATATATAAGAATGTATTGGATACAATGGATTTGTTTTACCCTTTGAGATTAAAAGAATTTGAATTTATACTACCAGTAATAGTAAAGCTAAATTCACCATTGTTTTTTGGGAGAAACATTAACATAGTACATCTATGATATGAGAAGAATCTAGAAAAAGAATAGACAAATATAATAGTTGCAGTAATAATGATTAAAATATAAAGCAAGTATTGCTCCTATATATTGTCCCCAAACACTAATATTTTCATAACAAGAATGACAGTTACAAAATTCTATTATCAGTCTATATCTAGAAATTTAATTAATCTTTGATGATACTAAAAATAATTACACATTCAATGTTCTACTGCAAAGGTGCATTTATTCTTGCCTCCCATTTAACAGCAACATTTTTCTTCTAAGAAAATCATGACAATTTTTTTTGTATTAAGAATGTGCATAGTTTGAAAGATTAAGATTGCGAAAAAGTTTTCTCAGCAAGTTAAAAAAACACACACACAGTATGTATAACATTAAAAAGAAAAGTTCTCTTTAAACTGAATTCTATTAGAATTCTTCCCCCATTCCAGCCAGCATGTACTCATGCTTTCTCTTGGAAACTGATATCACGAAAGAGCCATTGCAAATTAGTCTAGAACACATAGTTTAGCATGTGGTCTACATACTGCAGTAATTTGCCATGTCTTTAATAAACAGTTCATGTTGTATAAATTCTAACTAGCAGAATTAAAGATATCTTGATGCTTTTAACCACTTACTGCACTATTTTGAGTAATAATGACTGACCGTATTGTTGCTGTTGTTCATTTGTTTGGAAAAACAGCGTGCCCTATAAATTAAATAAGCTGGTTGGTTTATGACTATGACTTGTAACTAATTTTTCATCAGCTCATCTGTTCTCTATGATTTATAAAATAAAGTATATTTCCCAACTTTATATAAAAATTAATGTCTGAAAATAGATGTAAGCATGGCAGTTGATAGTTTATTATATTTATTATAGTTATTCTTTTTGTTCAAGCTGATTGATATGTTTTAGGCACTAATTAGTACTTTTAGGAATGGAAAGCATTAAATTTCTGGAGATGTTCAGCTTTTTTAGGTTTTGTTAGGTATGGGCTTACTCAAGAATTTTTTGGTAATTTCAATTTAGCTTTTCTTCATAATTATATTATTTATAGTGTCTTGGCAATAGGAATCCACTTCCATAAAAAGTTATAAGAAACAATTACTAAAAACTGCACATCTAATCTTTCTTCCTCAGAAAAATTCAGGACAGAAAAAGGAGGTATACAGCCAATAGAGATTTCTGAAGTGGTCTATAGTTATACAATGATATGATGGTTCCAAAGTGAATCTTGCCAACTTTTGGCCAAACTAATGACCATTTTCACACAATGGCAATACTTCATTATGTTGGTGAGACCTGGGAAAGACCTTAGCTTAAAAAGGCCAAGATTTCCCACTGCATCTGGAGCCATCTCCAGTCATCCTGATCTATATCTTGCCACTAGGTCCAGGCTGGTGACTTTGCACAGCCCTCCCTCACTTAAATCCAATCCACTTGCAAGTCATGGCATCACCTTCCTGCTGCCATGATCCTCTTTGAGAACAAAGAACAAACAAACAACAACAACAACAACTCTTCTACTATTACTGGTTTGCCTGACTTTTCAGAATTAAATGTTTTTGAAAAGATGCCAATAAATTGAATTTTCATAGACCAAAATCACATTGGACATTGATTTTCATAATGGAGTTTTGCTCCCCAGTGGAAAAATTGCTCCAAGAAATGATAAAATTATAATAGAATCAGGAAGTATTGTTTACAGGAAAATGATCTCTTTTTAAATACATGAACTATAATCAAAATAAGCTAGGTAATGTTACAATGCTATATCTAATCTTATGTTCATACTTAGCAAAAACATAGCTTAAAAGATAAAGACTAATGACATTTTAACTGAACACATTAGTTTGGATAGCATAGGCTGCTCCTCCACCCAGAATCCACTCTCTTCTCATCTCTACCTCATAGAATCCTTAGCTTCCTTAAAAACAACTCAAATGTCACTTCCTGTGGGAAACTTACCCTGATCCCATCAATTGTTACTTTACCCTCCCTTCGTCCAAGGAATTTTTTTCTTTTGCAGAATTTTGCCTTTAATCTTCTATACCATTGTGTTTCCCCACCACCACTTCCAAAAAATCCAAGTTTCTTAAGTGCAATGTTTGGTTTTGACCTCATCTTCCCAGGGCCTAGAGCAGTGTCTGGCATATAGCAGGCATATAAGTTATAGGAAATGGACTTCTGGTTTCATTGGCATAGAGAATTCCTGACTAAGAGGACTCTCTCTACCAAGGCAGGTTGGCACCTTCTCTGTTCCTTGTGGTTTTAGAGAATTGCCTAGGGCCCTCAGAGGTACATAACTTACCAGGTCACAAAGCCAGCATATGTCAAATAATAACATATTATTCAACTATTAAAGTTGAATAGTTGGGCAGAACCCTATAGATTAACTTCCATGGTATTCAACAGTGATGTATCATATGATATTAATTTAGTCATTAAAGAAACTCATGAAGTTGCTACTACATGAAAGGTAGCCACATGCTGTGTCCTAACTTTTGAAGAAATTTCAATGGCAGAGAAGGAACCATCTTTGTATCACCACAGCACCTACAACAGTATCCTGCATAAATGAATCACTAAACATTAGTTGAATGAATAGCTTAATGAATATGTGGAATGAAGTAAATAGATTGATCCTGAGTAAAAGAAAAATTTTAAAAATAAATTCTGTGATTTAGAACATAGCAATGAATTAACAAATAAGAAAACACATCTACTATAACACATAACACTAACTAAAATCATAGGAGATACCATTTATTGAAATATATACCCAAAAGAACATAAAAATTTTATGTAAGGGGTTGATATGTTTTTTTCTCTCATGATTTCATCCCTACTGAATCTTTTCTTTACCTTCATCATGTGCTTTGTCTCCATAATTCTTCTCTATTTTCTCATGTTATCATTTCTGTTATGTGTTCATTGACCTCACATTTAGCCTAGAACTCACTAGTCATTTCAAGAGTGTTTTTGCCTATCAATTTAATTCAATTAAATAATATTTTCATTATTGTTGTTATTATTAAATGCTTACTATCTGCCAGGAACTGTGTTAGATGCTAGAAATACAAATATAAAAATTAAGTCACCCCTCTGCCCCTAAGGACCCTACATTCTATCACAAGGAGGGGGAGAGGAGAGAATTTGGGGACAATATGAAAGTGAAGATAAAATATATACCAAATTCAATGTAACTTGATAAAGAACACTAACAGCTAGGAAGAATAAGGAGAAGCCTCTTAGAAAAAGTAGTACTTAATCAGAGCCTTGAAAGAGGATGGGGAATATAAGGAGCAGAGGTGAGGAGAGCCTTTTAGACATGAGAGGTAGCCTGTCCAAAGGCATGCAATCGTGAGATAGAATGACATGTATAAGCAATAGCAAGGAAGCCAGTTTAGTTAATGTGTATGTGAAATGGAATAATGTTTAATCAACTTGGAAATATAGACTAGAGCCAAGCTTCGAAGGACATTAAGTATCAAATAAGAGTTAGTGTTTTGTCCTAGATCTAGTAGGGAGCCACCAAAGCTTCTTGAGTAGGGGAGTGACATGGTCAGACCTATGCTTTAGGAATATCAATTTGGCAGCTTTTTGAAGAATGGATTGGAAAGGAAAGAGTCGACACAGGTTGACTAATTAGGAAACTAACACAAT